TGAACTGCGTCAATGGTTATTTATAAATGTTTATGCAATTATAATTACAATATATACAGTAATATATGTGGTGGGTTTTGTTTTTTATTGTTAATATAATACACTTTTCTGTACTTTTAGAATTTATTTCAATTACACACTTAACACTATCTACATGTCGTCGCAAAATAAAAGTAATATTCAACACTTTTTTAGTAACTGACTTTGTGTAGTTCAGTTCTTTGTTATTCCACCTGGATTTTAATCAGGTATACCTACCTCTTATGACACATCCATGGAACAATAGGTCATTAATAAATCTGACCGCAATTAACGAGGATAATTAAGTATCGTTAATAATATAGAATGTTGTATAATTCAATTAATAAATATAACTTGAGTCATCATGTGAAATAAAGATCCATGCAAGTTCTATATGTCAATACAAAATCGTAGGTTCTGATTCATCAATGTACTGCCTAAACCACAGCGATTATAAAATAGTGGCCGTAAAGTTGTGGCAGTTAATGCAATTATTATTATTAGTTTGGAAAATTTCAATACAAGTATGTAATAACCGCTAAGAAAGAATGTTTGGTAATTTCACTTTTGAAAGGATTAATTCGATCATTACCGCGTTGAATGGAAAACTATCGATATCGATTTTAAAATCAAAGGTAGAGAAACACGGTATTTCATATGCAAGATTCTATCTAGTTAGACAGATTCACTAAATTTGTAACAAGGTCCTGGTTACAGATGCATAGATTAAATAAATTTGTTTCTGAGACTTTTTTAATATCTATGCCTGGGGGGTGAAATACGGGTTGCAAAGTTATATGGGAAGCTGCTATTAATATGTTCACGCATGCCAATGGTAGCCTAACCAATATATGTCTATAAAATTGTTTGTCCTGATTCATTAATGCATTGTCTAAACCACAGGGGTTGGATAAATGAAGTTGAGGAATTTGGTGCAATTTATCATTAATTTTCATAATTTCAAGATATAAATACTAGTATATATATGTATGTAAAAACCATTAAAAAAGGATATTTGGTAATTTAACTCCCAAAGCACTCAAATAAATTATTGACGCGTGGTATGGAATACTGTCAACATAGATTTTAAAATCGAAGATAGTGAAGCTAGATATTTCATATACACGTTTCTGGTTACACATAGATAGATTAAATAATTTTGTATTAGGGAGTTATTGAATACCTACCCCCTTAGGGGGAAATATGGGTTGCATGGTTATATGGGGAGTTCGGCTGCATTCACAAATGCTAATGGCAGTCGGATAGACAAATATTCAGTGCGGAAATAGTCTGATCACCACTACTAGAAGCGTTTCTGCATAGAATATTTTCTATCTGATTACACACATGCAAATGGTAGCAGAATTAAGGAAAATAGTATAAATCCATTAATTAATGAAAAGGACTTCCTTTAGCTAATACGATAAATTCAATGATCTTACTTCATTCTCATTCTGCCTTACACTTGTATCTCTCCAGTGTATTCTTATATATAACTTTATTGTGCCATGGCCCACTTAGCATACATACCATAGCCTTACTATATAATATTATGTTATCTGTGGCCTTACAAAAACTCTTATACCCAAAATCTAGCATTGCAAATGGCTAATAGCGAAAGGGTTAAACTCGTGTCAAGTTCATTTTCATATTGCCCCCCTTTAAGACGTGGGTCTTACGTTGGGAAACACTGCTTTAATGCATCACTGGTCATACCCTGATACTGGTATTGTACCGGTATTCCATAATCATGAATTAAGAAATTCCAAACTCATACTTTGTTGTAGGTTAGTCATTAGCCTTGTAAATTTATACGTAACTATCTATGAATATGTAGCGCGGTGGTATCACCTCATCACTGTACCGTTGTGTATGATGTGATGAGGTGATGTCGCTATATAATATACTGTTTATTAGAGTATTATTGTAATATCTGAGGAGTGAGTATACTGGTGAAAGAAGTGTACTATTTATTATAAATTAGTAAGTTCATTTAGTAGTTTGCTACATAGCTTATTAGTAACACGTACGTTCGACGTGGAATAGAGACGTAGACCAATTTTACACTCAACTTAAATATATGTTATCTGAAGAGGTAAACTAATGGAATAGTCTCAAGAATTGACAGAAATATTACAAATGTAGGCACAAATATATTACTAATAAAAGAATAAACAAATACTAATTAATATGTAGCAAAGCATATAATTATCATTTATAGGTACTAATTATTCTGAAAACCTTATCAACAAAATCACAATGTGTATATATATTACAATTACTAGTTGTGTTATAACTGGTTCAAGTAAATAAATGTCTGTATTTATATATCTATATGTACAACTTAATGTATTGTATTGTGTGCTTACTTAGTACACAAAAATTCATACATCTATTGGCGGACGGAAATCTTTAGAAGACTTTGTCTCACGTTAAAATACTATGCAATGCATTAGTACACTTGTTATTTCTCAATGGATAAAATCCCACATACTCCACTTTTACATGCATGCAATCTGTTGGATTACGAATCCATATATAAAATATAAATAAAAATAAAGAGTAGACTGTATTAAAAAAAAAACATGCAAAAGGAAGGAGAAATACGATTATACGATTTCACCCAGGAGAATGTCTTCCACATTCCGAATACTCCAAAGTATGTAAGTAAGGTAACGTAAACTTACTCACCTTTACTCAGGAACGTTCCGGTGTGTAGTACAGTGCAGTGACCACGCACTGTAGTGTATATTTATGTGTATATTTAATAAAAAACAATTATATTGTATTAATTAAATTAAAAATTTTCTTGATTGAAAATATTTAAAATATGGAGGAAAAAGGACGTACGGACTACGTCCTTTTTCTTCCAGTTCTCATTTTCAATTGTTTTTTTCTAAATTTGAAATTTAAGTGGCCACATGTTTTATGTGGCCAGTATTATCAAGCGCCCTTTGCTACGGCAAGCAAGTCAGTAATACAACCTGATTATACTAAGGAAGTATTCCGAATATGGAACACAATCTTTTTATATTTTTTTTACTACGACGTTGGCAAACAAGCATACGGCATACGAGTTTAAAAAAAGGTCATACATACTATGTAATGCACTATTTTCATTGAAGTGTCAAAACCAATTTATGTGAATCTATTACTTATTAATTTAGGATCCTAATTGGCGGTGTTGGGCAATACGATGCGCATTAGCGTGACCACGTCCGTTTTTCAATGTATACTTTTAACATTAGATTCCTACATTCTCATCACTTCTTTACAATGAGCAGGTGCACTTTAATTCTACTATCGATTTTACGTGGAAGTAAAAATGATAAGTTTGTATTTTGTGGTGGTTGTGATAACGGTGTTGGTTTATAGACTGTGGTTGAATAGGAGGTTGATTCGTTTGCACAGACTGATACCGAGCAGCTATCCAGCTTGGCCGTTCATTGGACACTTGTATATGATGATAGGAAATGATAAAGGTATTTTTTTATTTTATTCTTTTCTAACCGTGAACAACCGACCGAGATAACCTCATGGTCATAGTATAGTATGTAGCCTATATTCTTCTCCATCCAAAATAATATTTATATACAAAAATAAACTTTTGTAGGCGATAGGTCGAGCCCTTACAATATTATCAAATAACAACTATGTACATAAACAACCTCAAAATCATATTTATAATTAGTACATCACAAGAGCCAGTAATATTTTATACCAGTAAAAACTTAGAAAAAAGTATTACACAAAATAAAATAATTTCCTATTCCGTGCTATATCTGGCAAAATAATAATCTAAAGATGTCTTCATGTATGTAGTTCAATATTGTACGTGGAGAATAAGCGAAATCATTGATACAGCTACATATCTCCCGAATCGTAAAGATATTTTATACTAACAATAAAACCCACTTGTATATATTTGTGATAAAAGTACCCTCGAAAGCATTTATATAAATGTTTATATATCTAGACGAAAATAAACATCTAAGACGATTTAATATTTTATCCGCACCAATATCGGAAGTTTGAATTACGGTTTCAAAATGTTTTTCCTTTATCGATTTCAGATTAATGTTTATTTCTATCATATTTTCCTAAACTATTTCTGTATATGCATAAATATTTCATTCTTGAGCCTTGTCCCGGCTTCATCCATCCTGCTTCGATATGTGTATCTATTCTTATGTGTATCTATTTTTTATATTTGTTGTTAATATTACAGAGCCTTGTGTGTGTGTGCCTTTAGCGTTAATAAAAAAATTATCTATCTTATATATTCCTTTTTTTGCATGTCACCAGATGTGTGCAAATGCAACAATAGTTTTACAATTATAGCCGTTACTCTATAGGTTGTCTTAAAAATTACTTTCACTAATACAATCGCCTTATTTTGTTTTATATTATATTTTACTTATGCATTGCATTCCATAATGTTACAGAAGGTAGTTGTTAGTTTAAAGTACATTTAGTACATAATTATGGCCCCCTTGGGCACGCAGAAGAGAACAGATCAGTACATGTATGTACATATGATATATTTTACATTGAAATATATTTTTGTTTTGTAGAATGCAAATACAAGCACATTCTATACATATGTATATATCCAACATAGCTGACAAATATCGCCATAACTTTGTGTTTTATCCGATCGATCCCGCCTCCTATTCAAACGGGGATCGGAATTAAAACAGCTTGATCCGATGTTCGAACCTCTAGCGGAGCCCTCAGACTAAAGTCGTATTGGTCAGGCCGGAGTTGGCTTTTAGTCGCTCCATAAGTCCTTCCGCAGGTTTGGAATGCTATCTGCACTCGCCCTCTACGTTCGATGATGCTATAAAGGACATCTACGGCTTTAGAATATTTAGAGAAGCTAAATTAATTAAGATCAGTTCCGTCGTTTACTATCAATATTCATTAGCGATCTTCTAATTCTCCAGTTAAAGTATTGTGTATTTTTCTTTGTAGTAAAAATGAAAGCAATAAAAAAGTTCAGTGATGATGCCCTTAAACAAGGCGGTATAACATCCGTGTGGTTGTTTAGTCGTTTGCAAGTAGGTAAGTACATCATTTCTTACTTTTTTATCAACTTATTTATTTTACTATTCTTGCTTATGAAATAAGTTATTTATTGTTTTTAGTATAGTATTATGAATAAGTACAATTTGACAGTATGGAATCACACAAATTTTAACTTATATATGTAAAGTTGTACAGTACATGATTGCAAGAGCTGCAAAACATATAATTGCTCATTTGTCTTAGGTGAAATTGTATTCTAAATGAGCAACTACATTGTAATTGAATGTGTGTAAAATTTATTTGAATTTGAAAAAAGTTTATTTGAATAAAGAATGATATCAACAACCCTGATAAAATTCAGGTAGCATCATCTATGTAACTCTAAATAATAATTATAAAGTTCCATTCTATTTATTTATTTATTCTGCTCGCTTTAGATATCATCTGTATATGTTTTCTTGATATTCCCTTTTTTCATATAACTGGAATAGTAAACATTGTGGTAGTACACAAGATGATACTAAGTGATACACAGATGATACTAAATATTTTTTATAAACATGATCAGCACCACGGATATCACGTTATCATGTGATACCGTGCTATCATGCTTTGCCATTCTTGAGGACAAAGACGAGCATACCTCCATATCTTGTAACATCACTGCCCTCATCTGCGCATCCTTCAACCGAATAGCTTTCAAAGCAAACTGCTTGGTGTCTCAAATTGGTGAGATTGACTTCTTATTTCAATAGTAAGTTCTTAAACCAGATACTCGTAATATGTGACAGTGCATCACACAGTCTACTTTCAAAAATGATTTTATATTAATACTTGGGTTATTTTAATATTGTTTTAAGGTTATTTTAGAAATGTTGTTCAGAAATAGAGTAATTGTTATGAATATCTAATCTATTTCAGTCATAACGGATCCCATTTTAGCTGAAATTGTACTGAAGAACTGTCTGGAGAAAGACGACTTATTGGAAATTCTCAGAATATTTACCGGCGGTGGAAGTATATTTGCACCAGGTTTGTGATTATATTCTGTTTCTAAATGGGCTATATTTTTGGGTTATAATCTTATAAACCTGTTTCAGCTTAATAGCTAAAAATAAGTGTGTAGAATATTTTAGTTTTTATAAACAAGGATATTGTACCAAATTTCGTTTTCATGGGGAAATCTCTTATCGCGACTTACTTCTGTACGTTCCTGCTCACCGTACGAGCTTTGTTTCAAAATCTTTTACATAACAAGCCATTAATTAAACACTGGAATGTATTACCTCTCGATATTTAATCTAGCGCTTCCAAATAAAAAAAAACATATTTCCTAAAATTTGAGTAATTAGTTTTATTCCAAATTTAAGTATGATTATTCCTCTATAAAACCTCATTTAAGCACCTTTTCCGACTTTTTTATTACATGTAATTAATTCATAATGCACCGCCCACATGAACATCTATTTGCCATATGGTTGACTGGAAGATGACTTATCGACTGGAGAGATTACAGCCACATTTATGTATTTGTGTATTAAAGTTTTAATAAATAAATATATAAAGAGGTTACTACTACTGGAATTACAACGTACTATTATAGGCGTCACATGATTCTGTGATATAGTTGTGTACATGTACATATATAGATGTAAGGATTGTCACTATTTCAGTTACAGAGATTAAGAATACCATACAAATTACCACAATAAATAAAACAGTGTGTTTCAGTAAAAACGTGGAGATCTCGCAGAAGAAAAATCGTAAGGGTGTTTAATATTAAAAACTTGAAGCAATTTATAAAGATAATCGGTCGGCAGAGCAACGTTATGGTAGACCAGCTGCGTTCACTCACAAATTCGGGATCTATCTCAATTGTCAAATATTTAAAAAAAACCTCATTGTGCACTGTATATGGTACGTACTTTTATATTTAATCATTTACTATTTTAATTTAATCACCAAACTATTATTAAAACTTATAAGGGTAATAAGAAGGGAGCATCGTCGCCTAGTGATTTGCTATCGCAATAGTCAATCAATGCCAATTTCTAATTAACTCTTAGGTAATTGAAATACCGATTTAACCAAATCTGAGAGATAGCGATAGGCTAGTTTCCTGTCATGTAGGATTCCAATATAACGGGAGCCGGTGGTTCATTTCATACCATTGAACTGAAATATATGTACCTTCACAGTACAATATCGGCAAATTAGATAAATAGATTGATATATCGTTTATTTGTTTGTTACTAATCACACACAACATGTTCATAAGAATAGACAATACATAATACGACAATTGTGTTATTATGTGTGATCTGTAGCAATACAAAAAGGTAGAAGCTCAGCGTGGAACATTATGCAGGGAACAAGCTCAGCTCAATTAAATGTTCCGTTGGTTGTTGTGTTGGCAATAGTCCTTTAAGTACAAGATTTTAAATTTATTGTTATTCATAAATAATTAGGTAAATAATATTACCAAATTGAATATACAAATAGTGAAATCATTGAATTTCTCGCTAGTTCTACTCAACTGAATCTGTAGATTGAGCTGGCTGGTAGAGAAAAAAATAGTGCAACAAAATTTGCATATGTCAGTAAATGTTCTACATGAATAAACAATTTTTTTTTTATAAAATGTAATTTCTCTCTGACTCTGACTATTCCAAATGGGTTTAATATTATGAAGGTCTAAGTCTTATTTTATGAAAATAAAAGAAAAAGAAGTTACTACCTCAGTTTCACTTATTTCAGCGCTATAGCAGCCTGCTTTATTATCTTTATATCGGTTGAAAGGTGCAGATTACGCAGCAAAAATATAGGATTAGAAGCATAACATCTTAGCATCATGGATATCACATGATAACATGATGTCCGTAGTAGATTTATGAACATAGGCGATGGTTACGTACTTGCCACAAGTTATCGCTTACATATTTTTTGTAAGTCATTAAGAAGAAACATAAATAGAATATGTTGTGTTTTATATTTAAAAATGGCGTATATTTATTTCAGAAACGGCTCTAGGTATTCAAATAAGCACACAAGAGGAGTCAATCATCAAAGCAATTGGAAAATGTATAAGAAAAACCTGCTACTTACTATTTCGACCTCCATTTCAATATGAATTCTTTTACAAAAACCTTCCTATGTGGTCAAAGTTTTTAATGGAGCGAGAAATCATTTATGGTTTTATTAATTCGGTAAATATTTTTTTTTTAATTCAGGCTACATGGCCTATATTGTACATATAGACTACATACATAAGAAATATTAATAAAAGTAAATATATAATAATTGTCTCTATGGTCACGGCTCTGACGACAGCAATCTGCCACGGTTACGCCGATAAATCACCCCCTTAGGCCAGTAGTCCTCCTTCATGAAGGTGGGCAGTATATTGGTGGGGACCCGAGCCACGAACGCTTTGAAGCTCGCGTTGTGACTCGATTCCAGCTGCGTCACCCTCAATGTCAGGTTACTTTTGGTCCGGATATAGTCGAGAATGTCCTGTTTCTTGGTAGCGTAGTGTAGGCGAGACAAATACATTGCCGTGGTAGGTGTTGCGGCTCGCAACAAGAAGTTGGGCGCTGTCGATGCTGTGCCACAATGGATTCGTGACAAAATCATCATCGTCACGGTCAGCAGACTTAGTATATATAGGGATCATTTTAAGAGGCACTTTCGGCTCATGCCGATTTGTCATAAATATGGATGAGGTTTTTTTTATTGGATGAATATGCCTGATTTATTGATTTAGCACAGCGCTTTACTTCTCATGGTCCATCGGTCTAGATATTTTCAATGTAGTACGTATTTATTTACAAAAAAATCTAAGTATTTATATCAGTTGTGTAGTAACCGTACGCAAGCTCTGCTTAGCTTGAGACTAGATGTCGCTGTGTGAATTAATCAGGGTTATTATTATTATGGTTTTTATCTCATTCACTCAGCTTTTGCTGGTTTTTTTACACTTTATGGCATATACCATATTATTATTATTATTATACCCTCCTTTTCAAAGTGTATGCTGGCGATTAGATAGAGGACGGGATATGCCAAGTCTGTCGTTACTTTATTTTTCATTACGATTTTAATTTTATTTTTATTATGATTATTATTATGCACCCATCTGCTGTAATGCTGTAAACGCCGGCGGATGACCACTAGAGGATAATAGGTTAATAATGTAATCAAGTTAGGAAGCTTATCGCGACGAATTTAAATTTGAATTTAATATGTGTTGTAAAGTAAGGTAAGACGGTAAGTAAGTGCCTTTTGTAAGGCATGATATCTCATTCCTCTGGAATTCAACGCAATGGCAACGCATGACTTGTAAGGATGTCATCATCAGCTGGGCAATCACTTCGATTGTTATCCCAATTATCTATACATCTAAATAAAATTGGAGTGTCTGTTTGTAATATTGAAATAATCGTTTTTTATTATATGCATACGAATATAAATACGGTACATACACCAAAATAACATTTTTTCCTTGTTAACATGTATTTTGTCTGTCTATCTATCTTGGAATTTGGAACTCTATTCGACCAATTTTTTTTATTATCTGCGATATAATTGTTTGTTGTTGTTTGTTTTCTGATTTCATATTTATGACAATAGTCCCTGTTCTTCTGTTACTCTATTATTTTTGTTGAAAGTATACAATTATTCTCATATTATCGCAAACTTGTCAATTTAATCTGTTACAATTAATAATAAGTAGGTAATTTCAGTTTGGCGTATGAATAATTATAGTTAGGTTAAAAACTTCGAAGCGAGTATTATTTGAATCCCTTATGAATTACTACTATAATTACATATTATACATTCTATAATTACTAATTAAACAATACAGTTTTTATAAGTCTCTACTCATAAGATTTAATTCAAGTTTTCCTTTTGAATGACAAATACATCAGACATTTGTACTTTGATCCTTCAATGACTTATTGAAACATTACACGCGAATATTAAGAAGTACTAACAAATTCCATTCTTATTCTGTCATCATACTATTAAGTAATATGTGTTCAATAATATTTTAATGCCATTAATTCGTTATAATAATAATAATATTTATATTAAGAAAAACGTTTCACATGAGAATCTACTTTACAAACATAATTTAACTTAAATCTTAACTTAACTTAACCTATGGCAATTAAACAAAGTGATCAGTTGTATTTATTTACAACGGTCTTTGCACTAAGCGTAGCTTGTATCGTACAAAGCAAAGCAAATATCGATACGCTCTTGCTTCGTACTGGTGTATAATGTATTTGACTATGTAATATTATGTTATCTGTGATTTGACGGAGATATAATTTTATACTAGCTGTTCCCGCGACTTCGTCCGCGTGGAATTTAACTTTATTTTTCTAAAATAAAAGTAGCCTACGTTACTCCTTATTACTTCAGTTATCTGCCAAAAAAAGTCCCGTCTAAATCGGTCTAGCCATAGAGATTAGCTGGAACAAATAGACAGATAGACAGAGAAAAATTGTAAAAAAAAATATTTTGGTGTATGTGCCGTATTTATATTTATATGTATGTAGTAAAAAATGTTATTTCAATATTACAAACAGACACTTTAATTTTACTTATATATATATATATATATATATATATAAATATCCCCTTGGGCACTTTGTGGCTCAGACGTGCCGTATAGGTAGTTTTTGTTGATCCTTTTTCACTTGTTGATCCGGAGGCCTTTTGTTGATCTAATGCCAGATGACCATATATAAATGTTGATCCGTTTTGAGCCACAACTGTCACGACGAGTAATAATAATAATTAAGCGATTTATACACGATTTTATACAAATCCACCTTTTTGGCATACGAGCAGTTCTTGATCCAATTCAAACGGGCCAATCAGGGTGCAGCATTTGCCAAGGGCTTCCTCATTGGCACGTTTTGGCTACTACATTATGGCTACAGTAACTTAATAATGTCTAGCTAGTATTTCAAAAATAATAGTCTACCTAATCTAAATATTTATAGAAATCAGTCTGGAGTAACGTGACTCCAGATCAAACCTCAATACTTGTTATTTTTTGGACGGGAATTTTTCCTTTTGTAACAACGTTACTGAGCGAATGAAGAGAAGACGTAACGGCGGATCCAGGGGGAGCGTCATGGAGGTCTTGGGAGTCATGGGGGTCATGACTCTCCCCCCCTTAGCCCAGGACTTAGGTAGACCACTAATTGAACTAAAAAATAATGAAACAGCTAAATTTTTTGCACGATCGGAGTGTTGGTGCAGTAGTATTAATTATAATTAAACATTGTTACTTAAAACATAACAGTTAAAGTACTATAACACTAAAAGCAAAATAGGTATTTTCAAAATACTTTTTCAAAATAAATTACCCTTTGAGTTTTTGTTCAAACCTCAGATATTATATTTATTTTAGGTATATCAATCAATACATAGTATAGCATAGTACAGTCTGTCTGTCTGTCTGTTTGTTGCGGCTAATCTCTGAAATAGCTGGACCGATTTTGACGGGACTTTTTTTGGCAAGTAGCTGATGTAATAAGGAGTAACTTACGCTACTGTTATTTTAGAAAAATAAAATAAAATTTCACGCGGACGAAGTCGCTGGGGCCAGCTAGTCTATAGATATACCGAGATTTAATGTTTAAGTTGCTATTATGTTATTGACAAAATTTTACTGTAATGTTACTATTACGTTATCCTACACAATTTGTATTATTTTGGATGAATAAATAAATAAATAATAATCTATACATCTATACATTTAATAAAAATTGGAGTGTCTGTTTGTAATATTGAAAAAACCGTTTTTTACTACATGCATATGAATATATATAAGGTACATATACCAAAATAACTATTTTTATAATTTTAGTCTGTCTGTCTGTCTGTCTGTTTGTTCCGGC